TCTCCATCCCCCTGCGTGGAGAGCTTAGGTGAGACAAGGGAGGAAGGAGACGGTGGGACGGGGCAGAGGAGATGGAGGCGAGGGGATGAGCTACATGGAGAGCAGGAAAATACTGTATGGATATTAGATTTTGTGAGTAACTACAACAAAGCTCATGTATTCATGCAGTCAATATTAAATCTCTATTTTATAGAAAGAGAGGGAAAAGTTACTATTCATGAAACTATTCATGGCCACCAAAGGCACTGCTCTTTTTAATCATTATTTTGTAACTAACTGAGAGATGAGCCTATTCTGTGGGTAGGGGTTTTTTTAACGCCTAACAGAATGACAGTGGCATTTTATGGCTCCTCATATTTGTCACATTTTTCTTATTTTATTCCAACTCTGAACAAAATTATAGGAGATAAAGTTCTCCTGCCCTGCTTTTGTTTGTAGAAGTCATAGTGCATTTGGGTAGAAATTACAGCATTTATGACTATTTTTCCTTACCTGTTCAGCAAACATATCAATGAATGATGTGCACCCACATTGTCGCCAATAAAACTTTCCTCCTGAATAATTCAAAAGGCCGAGCAGATATGCCGGTAAATCCCAGCTACCAGAACAGCCCGTCCTGGGTCTGTTGGCAAGAGCCTTCAGAGAGGGGAAAGGATGCTCTGGGTCTGCGCGCACAGCCTGGGAGAGGTTTCCTGTGGGGAGGGGTGGCGGTGGCCCCTGAAGTCAACCTTGGGGGTGCGTGTTTTTAAAATTTGTTTAAAAAGTGGCCTAATTGGTTTGTACGTGTCTAAGTTATGATGGTCCCTGCCAGGGTGAAGCAGTACAGTTGACAAAGTTATGAACAATTTTAAGGCCATGCAATAAAGGAGCATTTGTAGCAAGAAGTTTTGTTACATTGGTAGATGTTTTATCCATTGCCTCTTAAACATTGTAACATTTCTGTCCTTTTCACTTCTCCCTTTCTTTTTTAGATTCCTTTTGCTTGACTTGAATATATAAGGAGATGGAAATTAAAGGCTGTGATGTAGTGCTTGTTAAACGATGGAGCTGAGCTCAAATAACAAATATTTAACTGAAACATGTTTTGTCATGGTTACAAGAGGAATGAAAGGTATTAGCTGCTCTTTCAGAGACAGCATAAAATTTTCTGCTATTCTGTTAAAATGCTGCCCTGCTTTTGTCCTGGAAACGGGAATGCGGTGTGCACTGTAACATGCACTGCCTCACATTCAAACAGGGCAGTTATACTTTTCCCATACATCACCTAACCTCTTATTTAAAATGTACAGTGTTTGGTAAAGATGTGGAGCGCGTTGCGGACGCGGTGTGTTCTCTCTGTCCCTACCAGCTGGGAGCCAGTCTGATATTCCCGCTACAGCCATGGGCTGCTCAACAAGCCTGCGGTGCTGCACACCGCTCAGGGTGCCACGTGGCGTTTCCTCCTGACCCTGCCACCCCGCCGCTGGGGCAGCGTGTCCTCGGAGGCTTCAGGGCACGGGCTGCGCTACACGGGGCACCGCCGCCGTTCCTGAGCCGGGGACCCGACAAGTCACCCATAGCTGTTCCTGAGCTGGGAGTCTGCGGGGCTCCCATCCGTTGGCGTGCGTTGGGGTATTACACCCATAAGGGTAGGAGAACGCAGACACTTAGGCGGGATAGCTTCTTACAGTAGCAGAGCAGCTCCAGCTTTGCAAAAGAACACTATGGCTTGTCCGTCAGCAAAGCTTTTAAACGGCAGCTGTAGAGGTGCAGAGTTTAATGGGTAGGCAATGTTTGTTCTGCATTTCAAGTGCATCATTGCACTCTGAGCAGTGTAAATTTAGCTCCTTTAAGCCTGATCTCCTGGGGCTGAGATTTAAGTGTTTGAACTTTAGTTGAAAGAAATATATCGATTAGGTTTTGATTTAGTTGTTCCTTGCTGAAAAGATACTGGGTAATGACTTGTACCTGCCCTTTCGTATTTTATTCACTTAATGGAGTCCCCGCTCATTCCCCTTTTCTTCCTCAACACCATTTTGCCTGAAAGTCCGCAGTGCTATGAGGAGAAATAAAAGAAAAAGCAGTTGTCACACTGTGAACATAATTGATTCAATAAGTAACATTTTTAAATTCCCTAGGCAAACTTCTGAGTCTTCACTTATGTCAATTAGTGCTTTATTCTGTAAACAGTGGCATGTCTAGTTTAGACTGATAGACTAAGGTAGTCAGCTTATTGCCTTCTACAAAGAATAGGCATGGAAGATGAACTGGTTTTCATAGATATAAAATATCTTGTCCAATTTTTTTGAGGGATGTGAAAAGAAATTCTCTTGACCTATTTGTTAAAGTTAATTGGGGTTTTTTTTCCTCCTCTCACAGTGACTCAAACCGAGAAATCTTTTTCTTTTATCTTGACAAACAGAGAGCATACTGGGCTAAGCCTTAGTCCCACACAAGTTACAGCAAAGCTCCAGGCTACAAGAGCTGACCAAGCATGAGAGGCAGGGTTGGCAGATTACTACAGTTTCAGTGCACAGGCAGAGCCAAAAAGGAGAGGAGGAAGGGATGGTTTAGGTTTTCTTACCTAAAGTGAGTGGGTTTTGCTTTTCACTAAATATGAAACTTTTCTCTCACTTTGTACTGAATCTTGAACTTAAATTCCTTTCAGAATAGAGAAGAATCTGGCTGTGGAGCACCCGTAGCCCTGACGTGGGAAGAGCACTCGGTCGAGAGCTTCCCCCAGTTTTCAGCTGGCTGCCCTGCTGCAAGAAGCTCAGCGTGACCTGATCAAGTGCCCTGGCTTCGTGCAGCCTTGACCTGGAAGAGCTTGCAAGCTGCTAAGGGTCCTCTGTCCCCTCCGGGTTCGCCCTGTGCCATAAGCGCTACTTGTGCCTCCCGGGCGGTGGGGAGAACTGCCCTGAGTTAGCGCGGGACCGTAAAATGTGAGTATTTTCTTTTAAGGCTTTACTGGGACGTTGTGGGGTACCCTTTCTAATGTATGAAATAATTCAGTTGTGTGTAAAACTGGTATTTATTTGTGCTTTTTTTCCAGGGTATTAAAATAATGGAGACACTTCTTCAGGAGCAGTGTGGGTGATCGTGCTCTTAATGAGCAACTGTAAGTGCAACATCCATCTACAGATAAGAAAAATTGTTCAGAGTTTGTGATACCTATTGCGTGTTGTGCTCCTTGTAGTTCCACAAATCAATGTGCGGTTTTGTCTATTGTAAATAGCAGACAACTTTTGTGGAGTTTTCAGGAAAAATGATGATCTACTGCAGCGTTAGGCTTAATACTATTCCAGAATTTCTGCATAGTATGCTGATTAAGACAACTTCTGTGTCCTGTATTTAATTTTCATCTCTCTGTTAATACATTGTGAAAGTGGTAGTCCTAGTAAAATTACACGTTGGTTCTATCTAAGGATTTTTACTCAGAAGAAGTATCTTCAGGGGTTATCTGTGGAGGGAAGATTTGGTCAGCTCTTAAATTAGCTTCAGAGCAAGAGCAAATGGCTATTGATTACCTCCTAATAAATGTTCTTCTAAAACCAATTTTCTCTTTTGCAGGAGAAAATGTATTTGCTTAGAGTTTCCTTGGAACCGCATATCTTCATCGCCATCGGAATTCCATGGCTGTTGTCTGAACTTTACTGGTACCATTCTATTGGGGAAAGAACATTTAATATGCAGAGGTGGAAGAGAAGACGACCACAGACTGCAAATCTCTTAAAAAAGATTAAGGAATTGTACTACGTAAGGAAATGTTGATCATGAAAATCACAGAGGAACAAGTGTAAGCCTGGAAACAGCGTCTTCCTGTGAATTGGTGCTGTAAGCTCTAGAGACTGAGAACTCAGTAAGGGAGCACAGGCCAGCACAACGGAAACAGCCCTTGTTGTGATGAAGACGCCCTTGCCTGTCAGCCAGCGCTCTGTGACCCATCTGGGGAGGTGCCAGCACAGCCCCTGCGTCCGTCGGGGGGGAGCCTTCGTCCTACAGAGGTGGAGCTCAGCTCTGTCACTGTGCCCCACTTGAGTCACTCATTACTTCAGTTCCGATTGCTGTGTGGGAAATGTTTGGTTATTATACCCCTGCCAGCATGACTGGTTTCAGCTGTAAAGACATGCCTCGATACAAGTTTTGCATATATTTGGATTCTTTCAGAAAGTATTTCTCCTTTTCTGAATAGAAGAAGAAACTTGGAGGGGAATTAGAAGGGGCAAATAAAGTTCCCAACAAAGAGTGTCTCATGCTCTTTCCTCCTTTTGTTCCACACATGACATCCAGAGAGTTTTATTTTAAACTTTTCATTTAAAGTTCAGATATGCACAAACTATCTTTGCTGCCCTGCACTGGGTTAGGGTAGTACCACATTTCACAAATAGCCCCATTAAAGTCAGTGTTTGGTTTTTTTGTGGAGATTTGAACCAGTTATTTGATTGCCCTAAAGCAAAATGATCAGCTTTGCATTTTTCATGATGAGTTGTGTTATATTTTCTCAAGTGTGATGTAAACTCTTGGCGGACTCTTCCTTATGCTATGCCTGAGTGTTGTGGTCCTGCTGATTTCACTCTTCCTGGTCTCGGCTACCCTGTTCTGAAGCTGAATGAACGTTCTACCAAACAGCCCAGCCACAGGCTGTGGCCACGCGCCAGCTCCCCGGGAGCGTGAATGCACGAGCCTTTGGTTCCGTGGCTGGGGCTGTGGGTTTGGGGACGCTGGGCCGTGCCTTGTGATGAAGAACCATGGCACGGTCCTGGGGAAATGACCGTGCTTTGTCTTGGCACAGTGGAATGAAATACTTTCCTTCATCTTTCTTATTTTGGTTGTTAACTGGTTCTTGTGAATTTGGACTCTGAATGCTGAACAGTAAATATTTATGAAATGTAATGGCCAAGACTAAATACATTCATTAGCATATTTATTTTTATTGAGTTGCTGCTTTGTGTGCCCGAGGAAATTATCAAATTACTTCTATTTGAAATGCTGTGTACAATTTTAGGACTGACGTTTTTATTCTTGCGTCACTCTGGATTTTGGAATTAGGATAGGAAGCATCTGTGTCCTCCCCACCCCCAAAAGCAGGTGCCAGAAACAGGAGGGTTAAGATTTTACCTGGGAGCAAGGTGCTTGTTGTGAGGCCAGGGAGCATGGGCAGAGTGGTGGAACAGATTGGGTATTAGGGACAATTTCTTCACCCAAAGGGTTGTCAATCCCTGGAACGGGCTGCCCAGGGGAGTGGTGGAGTCACCATCCCTGGAGGGATTTAGAAGACGTGAGGACGTGCATGGGGACATGGTTTAGTGGTGGGCTTGGCAGTGCTGGGTTAATGGTTGGGCTCGGTGGCCGTAAAGGTCTTTTCCAACCATGACAGTTCCGTGAGTCTGTGAATCGCCTGGCCCTGGTGTGAGCCCATGTGAACCCTGGCCGGGAGGGAGGAACCAGCCCGGGACAGTGACCCGTCGTGGCCGCGGCACTGTGCGACAGGGTGACAGCAGGACGC